AATTTCTGATTGTTGCACTGTTCCCGTGTTACAGTTTTGATATGACAGTTAATGTCAATCGACTACAGGTCATGGTCTATGCATGGTCTATGAGTGGATATGTATAATTGAAATAAATTATGAATACATTTATACCGAATACATACCAATGAAACCAAGGGAGTTTTAAACCTCTTCGAAAATTCAATTTATTACCATTATGAATTTTAATTTCATTGTATATCCTTTCTCGTTTTACGACGTATTTTTACTTTAAGTTCGTTATTGATGCGAGTCTCCCGTTATTGGCTGAGTTTGAAGTATTTTATTTAAGATTCAGAGAACGTATTTCTATATATTTTTCAAAGTATGTATGGCACATACATTTATATACATAGTATGTATTTGCTGTGCATTCATTGCGTTTGTACACGGTAAATTTGAGTTTGGAAAATTTGTCACGTCACGGTTAACAACGAACGATGGAAAATGGAACGCAATACGAGCTCAGCGTACAATTGTAAGCGAAATATATGGATCAGTAGGCGGCACCGTTAATAATGCGTGCAGCACCGTAAAGATATCAATAAATAAATAAAACGACGTGGAGTAGTTAAAGTTATGAATCCATCAAGATTAGAGCAATGGAACCAAACGGTAAGCCGTGGGGGGTGGTTGAGGTTGGAATGAGCGAAATACGTGTATTATATACCTACGATCAGAGAGAATCCGAACGCGTGGTTGTCGGAATCCCGTCCCGTTTCCTATAGTTTTAGTTTATACGTATCATAATTTTATATGCGATCTGAAAAGTTGTTCGTATACGACTGAAACCACGGGAGAGAAGGCGTAGTTTTTCCACTGCGCTTTGAAAATAATCTTTAACGATGCCAAACGTATAGAAACACTGTTAACATATTGCATATTGTAATGTGTACTATAATATTTACTGTGGCAACGAGTACCCAATACGGTTAACAGAATCAAAAGCCGTGTGTTCGGTGTATAATTCGATAATGGTTCGATCGTAGTACGCCATAGTGTTCCTATACGCTAATATAATCGTTACGTATATCCGTCGCTAACAGAAAAAAATAAAATAAAAATCCTTCGATGATATCAGTACAGCGAGCAGCATTGGAACCATTTATTGGTATTTTTTTTATTATCTAGATAAATAGTTTCATGTTATCTTAATAATTATCTTTGATAAAGTATTCATTTTTCTAGATGAGTTCATTTGTACACGAAAAAAAAAACCAAAATACAAATTTTTACTATCGAATTATTTCATTTTTAATTAATAATTAAAATTTGAATTCATAAATAATCCCAGTTACAGAAATTATAAAATAATATTATACATCATTAACTATTTCATTTGAAGCCCGGGGCCCAAAACGTAAATGTTTTTGCTATGTGTTAAGCTGGTGAATGGTGATCAGGTAAATGAATGGAAAAGTGAATGTATTTATTATTTATATAATATATAATAATAATTATATATTATATATATTATATAATAATAATTATTTATTAGTAAGAAAAGTTGGTGAGCTACTCAGTCAGAAATAACCTATTTAATTGTGTCTTATATTTAACATCAAAAAAAAATCTTCTTTTATTTATCTTATGTATAAAATATATAAAATAATATGTATCTTACAAAACAGCAATTGCGTATCTACTATTATAAATTTAAATGCATACAAAAATTATTAAGAAAATTCAGAAAAATCACGATTTACCGTGGAATGTAACATGTGTAAAAAAATTGTTTCTTAATATTTATACTTAACTTTTGAAATGCTGGTTAATTTATATTTATTGAGTATTGGCATATAATGATATCTACTACCAACTTTGATCTAAACATGTAGTCTGTGTTTAAATAGTATTAAATTACAAAGTAGTATACTAGTAACTAAAGTATACTCATAAGAAATTAGAATATAAATATATTGCAAATTTAAATTTTTTTTTATTTAGACAAAAACGTATCTAACTTTAATATTTATCTTTATCTAGATACATTTTTGTCGTGCTATCTTCATTTTAGTCTAGACAAAAAAAGTATTAATTTAAATATAACATTGGCCGAGAGTATACACACATATCATAATAAACGCATTTACTATAATAACAGAACTGTTATTATGAAGGGATATCAGAGATATAAATATTTTTTATTAGAAAAGCTATAATATTGAACATCCATTTATTGGTACGACACTGCGACTGACTAACATTAATCCATAATTAGTATATAGAAGGTGTGAGGTGACCCTTATTATTATATTATATTCCTTTAGGCAAAAAATTGATTTGTTTGAATTAACGGCTCTAGTTTTTGCCAAAAACTTCATTTTCGATGTAGACCAGAATTTCCCAAACCGTGGTCCATGGATCCCTAAGGGTTCGCACGTATACCAGAAGGGGTCCACAAACGTAAATTAAAAATACACAAACTACCTATCCATAAAAACTAAAATACTGATGTAATATTCGTATTATATGGGAAATATATAGTCGAATTAGTCATCATTGAAAAGTAGTTAAGTTTAGAAGCAGTCTGATCGCGTTGGTTTATCGTTATTTATCATAAAAATATCTGCATTTAGTTCAAAAAGTAAAGAAATCAATTTAGTATTATTTGATAATATTGTTTTTAATTTTCATTTATATTAAGGAGTCCGCGATCATTTTTATTATCTCTAAGGGGTCCGGCAGAGAAAAATTTGGGAAACGCTAATGTAGACAATAGATAATAATATGAGTAAGTGGAGCGAAATAACGTTTGGACATTTTTTTTCTTGTGAGTGAAATTCGATTTCGCGTAATAAAACAAAATTATTAACGCAATAATATTTTACATAGCCAGTGCATCTACAATCTACCGACTGCAACCTTACACATTTTGTATTATTCAAATGTTAACAATTTTTTTTTCACAATGAATTATTTGACGTAGGACATGATCGTTTTTTAACCGATGTAAGATCACGAACTGTGTTAATGAGCAATAGACGTGCGTGATTTTAACCTCAAAAGTAGACGGCATTCGATATATCGCACACCTATATCGAAACAGTAACAACTCAAAAAAACGCTTTTTTCAGGAATGTCGGTTTTGTTGGTGGTACCTTGGTATTATTCATTCAATAAAATGTACTTACATTGCCATCTAACAGAGAATATTAAAGATAAAGATAAACCTGTTTTGTTAATTTATGTAATTTCGTTTGTAGAATCCGAATATACGTTTAACTAAAAAAAACCAACTTTTCGAGTTGTTACTGTTTTGATATGGATGTGCGATATGGTAATCGTTATTACTGTTATACTACGCAAAGTCCTCTGAATAACTGCGATTTGTTTCCGAAAAACGATATTATTGAATCCGGTTTTCGAGGACAGACCATTAGTACAATTGACATCCGGAGATAGGTGAATTTTCGTTCCGATTACGTGGTATCGCTGAAGAGATTGTGGAGAAAAAATACTCTGTCAAGTTCACCGCGAATGTATACGATACATGTATTACTATATATTCATGTGCACGCGATCGATCGGACGTGTCAACTGTCAATCGTTACAGACACTGCGGCCATTTGTATTGTCGATCTACAATACTAAATCGATTAAATCCGTTTCGTGAATAATAGCTGCGGTGGCGCGATACTCGACGGCACAATTTATAGACGTGAAATATATATGTATCGTCATTAATATGCAAACTTTTTATACAACGGAATATACTTCCGGTTTGTTGAAAACCTATATATAATGGTTTATTTTAAACATAAAACGTCATGCCGATTATACGCCATTCAGTCAGTATATTATAAATACGAGTATGTGTGTGAATGTTTCATTTCTGTGTATGGCACGATAAATATTTATTTTTTTTTACATTATTACAGAACTATATTTTTAAACGATGACGACAAACGAGTCTCGCTTCTGTACAGAAAATATGAACCGAGCTATATAATTGAATCTGCTGTAGTGAAAAAAAAAAATCCAAGTCCAAGTCCAATCTGACTTGCTTAATGGAAAAAAAAATGTTGGCCGATATCTATTTTTGTACAACCGTTCAAACGACCGACGGTAATCAGTTATCATTAACGTTTAAATCGTATGATTTGTAATTTGAACTTCCAAGTCTTGAAAATTGAATACGCATATTTTATACGGAGTTTTTTTTCTTATTTTTTTTTTTTTTTGTATTATGTTTCCTAAACATGCTTAGAATTTACGCTCGTATTTTATGATTAAATATGAGACGTTTGGCGAGGAACTATCAAAACAATAATGATGTAGGTACCTTTCTCGTTTTTCCATGCTATATATATAGGTAAACATTTTATTTTTGACAGTTAAAATGTTTTCCATAACTTTTTTTTTCCTACAGTCATATCTTCGAGCGTGACTTGGAAAAGGATCAAAAAACCTGCGCAGTTTACGACACACAACTGTTGTTATTTTTTTTGGTAAAATCGATTCGGATTATTTTGTAGTGATTCGGGAAAAATACAAGACGACAAATAGTCGCTTTGTCCTAAAACATTTACGCTAGTCGAGCGTACACTACAACGTATTAATTTAATATTGTGTATGGGTCAAGCATGGAAATTTTAAACGAAATACGGCGGGCCGGAGAAAACATTTAAATATTAACAATTTTTTTTCCTCAGCATTCTAGAAGGTAAAAAAAAAAATAAAAAAATCTCACCGTTTATAACATTCGTAGTAGTTGGGATCTAGTTATATTTCCTATACGATACATTCATACGCTTCGGTATGTATAGTGTGCACATAAATTGACCGGCATTCCGCAGCGATCTGTTTCCCCTCCGCGTGCGTATATATAAACTTAAAACTTTGCAGAAAAAAAAAATAACAGAGAAAAAGAGCCAAGGGTTCGTGCTGCATTATGGAGCCGCGCAAGCGTTCTAAATATGGATAAAATAGCCCGGGTTTTCGGTGGCGGCGGCGGCGGCGGCGGCAGCGGCAGCGACACAGCTTTAGTCCTCCACGACGAGTTCAGGTATCAACACCCACGCACCACCACAACAGTCCGTTGTCACATTACCGCTCAAGTTCACGTTGCTATTCCATTCCACACCGAGGTAAGCGCAACGCTGTTATTATTTATTCACTTTTATACGCACGCGAATAATTTTTATATATGAATACTTACAATTTATACCCCCTCCCCTATTTTGTTCAATATATTAATATTTTCGTGTTATTGTATATTATCCAAACAAATTGTACATTCGTTTAACTACCGTACAATTAACATGATTTGATACTGTTCGATTTGATATAAAATATAAATTATATAGTATAATAAATATAACTGTAATATTCAGACGTTTATTACATATAATTTAATGGCGATTTTATTTCAAAAAAAAAAACCGTTTTTCAATAATTTTATTCTCGTTTATTCGTTACTATTATTATGCCTTTATAAGTATATATTGAATACGTGTTGATATTATAATATTATACTGTCAAACTTTCTCTAAATTGCCAGCTATTTTAATATTGTACGTTATAATAACATTATATGTTTCATCGACTTCACTCCCGTTGTTTTTTTCTTCTCGACGTGTTAAGACAGCTTTACGATCATCCACGCAACACAGCCTTAAGTAATAACGGTGCTTTATTGCATTACTATGTCATATCTTTAAAACGTATAGAACGGATTCGATTCGAGCGGTTTAGTTAAATTAAATATTTGAAAACTACTAGTAACATCTGTACTTTAACTCTTCTAGGGGTGTTTATAATAACAAACGGGATCAGTACATTTTCCCGAAATTAAATTGCCCGACAGTCTCAAATTTAACATTTATTTTAATTATAAATAAATATATGTCAAAAATTATTCAAAATTTTAATAAAATATTATATTATATTATGTTATTTACAAATTAATGTCAAATTTAAAACTATACCAATAATAACACTTGCCCTTATTATAAGTATTACTTAATACTTAGTACCTTTTCACATAGAACGATATTATCCATGATAAAATATTCGTCTGATTTAGTTTTTTTTTTTTTTAATTATTGTATATTAATATTAGATATTAATAAATAATAATAATAATAATAAAATTATGAAATAGTAATAAAATATTGTATATCAGTATTATACGTACAGTAAAAATATGTAAAATATATTGTGTCGGGCCTCGGGCAAACGAAGTGTCGGGCAAATGCAGTGTGGGGCAAATTAAGTGTTGGAAAAATGAAGTCGGGTAATTCATGTATCGGGCATTCGTGTGTCGGGCAAACATATTAGACCCATTAATGTTGTCGTCAGAACGAAATAGCGGAATCAATAAAAAATGAATAAATCATATGTTGTGTTAATCGCGCACGTGTTTTGGTTGAACGATATGCGCAGTATTATAAAATAATTATTATAACAATACCATAATGATATACCGTAATAATGACAAGGTGTTTCCTAACCCGGGGTTACCCGCCTCTCCTCTTTGGAGGGCACATGAACACAGTTCCGAGAAGATGTAAACGGTCATCATGGAGGGAGTTCTTGTTTTATTAATTTACACGGACGAGGATAAAAAAAGGAAAAATAAATAAAGGACGGGTTTTTTTTTTTTTTTTTGTTTTCGTTAAACTACCTATTGAAATGAAACATTAGAACCGAGAAAAATTGGGCCGTCCACATTATTTATTTCATTAGCTTTGTCGTTTTTCCTATTAAAACCGAAAAACAAAAAGAAGATTAACGACTTTGTTTCTATTTCTAAATTATAATCAATCGTCGAGGGTGACGGGATTTTCGAAAACCTACAACGGGGTACGTACGAAGGAGGTTGGACACGTTAATAGACACGCGGGGTCGTCGGGGCCGAACATGGTTATCGTAGGTCCGGACGCGCGATGTGTGGGTCTTTAAACGTTCGAGCCCCGGATATCGGATTCGCCGTGGCCCGCGCCCGCACGTCGCAGCGCACACGAATCGGCCGCCACGGGGACGTTAGAGCACAGCCGCCGCATACAATCCGCCCTTGTCTGTGATCGCTCTGACCCGCCCGTCGCCGCGGGTCGAAACGGTCCCGTCCGGGGTGGCCGTCGCGGAGCTCAGTTGTCGGCTGCGGGCGCCGGATGATTCACGCGGGTCACATGGTGGTGGGGTAAGAATAAACGAGCATCCGACGACCGATTCGCAGCGAACAAATCGTGTACGACCGACTCGATCCGATCCGTTCGGTCTCTTCGGACGTGGTGCGATCAGAGCGCGAGAACGAACGGTTCGGGAAGAACGCGTTCGGTTTTACCTTGACGATCTGTGAACTCGGTTCGACCGAAGGTCGTCCGAACTCGTTTTCGATTGTCAGGCGATCGGATTATCGTTTTCCGTTTTTATTTATTTATTTATTTATTTATTTTATCATTTTTATAGAGATACTTCATCGCGTCGCACTATAGTAGTAATAATTATTACTAACAAATAATATGTTAATATCAATTATTTAGCATTTTTTTTTTTTGCTCATCAGTCACCACATTCATTACTCCGGTTTTAGAAGATAAGATCCGTAATAATAATATTTGATGTCTAGAGATTTACTAGAAACACTGAACGTGAACGCGTTTGCTATTCCAGTCTGCTACATCCCCATTGACACGATCTCATTCGGTGTCTTCCCAAAAGTTTTTCCCCCTTGTAGAATCGTCCTATTCATGGTTCCAGATTTGCTTCATATACGACGCGTTACGTATCGAGTTACTTATAATTTGAAAATGGATACAGTAAAACATATTAAAACGTAACGCGAGTCAGATAAAAATGGTACGTACACCGCCGTTTGTCCATCGCCGATATGCACTGTTGGGCAGAATGACCGGATCAGTAAAGATATCGTGTATAATAGACAACTGTCATGCACCCCGTGTAAATGATATGTTTTAGTTATGATCGATGTCCGGATGTTTATAGCAATAATATTACCGAATAGTAGTACCGACTTGATATTTCCACCTTACCTTCCTTCCAGGCTATTGTATGCTGTATGCGTGGTTCAAGCGAAGAAGAACGTCCGTTTGAATATCATTCCACATACTCATGACGGATAAGGGGGTTTGAGAACAGAAATACTTCATAGACACGTTTTAGAAAATATTTTATTCATAACCTGCAGACTGTTATTGAACAATATTAATTGTAACTACATTTGTAATACCTGTACCGTTCTCAAAAAATATTTTACAACCGATTGATTGGGAGGTACTTTTATTGTATTTCACTATTTTCCGCCACGTTCTAGCATTTCATCCGAATCGTTCGGTAGTGTTTGTGTTAAAAAAGAAAGAAAACAAATTATTCGATTTTCTAAAAACAAACGATTAAAACTATCGGCTATAGGTGAGTTGTGGCCCGACATGTCATTAACGTGTTAAAGACCGGTGAATTGCAACCCAGTCATATTTTATCACTAAGTTGATTGCGGCCGGGGTGAATTCGCCATTCCATGTCCATTGATCTAACGTGCTCTCCTATTGGAGTTGTTATACATTTTTGAACAAGCTATCCACAGTGCTGTAGCAGATGTCTTCTCTAATGTAAAAATAAGAGGATGTCGATTTCACTTAGAGCAAAGTTGGTGGAGGAAAATTCAAAGTTTAGGACTCACGAAAATGTATAACACAAATACAGATGAAAGTTATTATTTCAAATTTTTTTTTAGTTTGCCATTTTTGGATTTTGACAACATCATTGATTGTTTCACGGATGAATTTTTAGCAATACTGCCCACTAAAGATGATCGGGTTGTACAATTTACCGACTACGTTTTCAAAAACTATAAATCCCCGGACGCCATGTTTACCCCAAATATTTGAGCACATTTTTTTGTTAGCTGTAACCGTATCACTAATGGCTATGAAAGTTTTTATTCATACTTAAATTCATCATTCTACTCTAATCATCCTAACATCTATAATTGTATTGATGTATCAGTAGAAATTCAATCAGAAATGTATATCAAATGAAATAAAAAAGAAAATAGAAATAGAAATAAGAAATAGAGCAGTTTAATTTCGTTAAATCATTAAGTTTAAGTTTTTGCCCAACCAATAATCTAAAAAAATTAATTTTACCATAAATGTTGCCATTTTTACATAAATAATAATAAAAAGTAAAAAAAACAAATATTTAGGAGACGACTTAGCCAAGTTCTTCGTGGTGTCTTCTGGGTAATACTGATAGACTGATATGAAGTGATAAATAAAATGTGGCCGCAACTCGTACGTTTATTTTATAAACACGGGCCACAACTCGTACTTAATTTAGGGATCGGGCCGCAACTCACTAACACCGAACCTATCAGCTGCACCACGGATTTCCTCGAATACACGGCTTTCCGGTAAAAACACGTTAATTTACACCGGTCGGGGTTCTCATAAAGGGGGTCGTAAATGCGTGAAGAAGAGGCCGCAGGGATCGTGTAACTATGCGAACGCAAAAATACGTAATAGGGTTATAAAATTATACTCGTCTCCTCCTCCTCCTCCAACGTGGTAACGGTTCGGCAGGAGTGTAATACGATCGCAAGATAGGTACGTAGTTCGCAAGAACTATGAAACTGTAATGACAGCGACACGACGAAAAGAGTATTTTTCGCGTCACACGTCCCCGGTAAGATAACGGGCAAATCCGCGATGGAATATTATTTGAACAGGAGTGTATTTCGTAAACTCACGGGAGCATTCGAACGTGACTGGTGCAGAGCTGGACCATGCTTGAGTTTCAGTCAACGTTACACGCATAACGATCGAAACGATTTTTGTATACGATTGGAATTTAAATTGAAACGTGTGGAATATGAATATATTAACGTTCGAATACAAACATTTAAAAATTAATGACAATTTATAATTATGCAAATGTCTAATCATTAGACCATTAGACTCTAATGGGTTCTTAATTCTTCGTTTAAAAATGTATAACCGTTGTGGATATTGATAATTTTGTTAAATTTTTTTTTTTTATATTTTTTTCTCAATTATTTATTAAACATCGAATAAATATATCTATTGTGAACGGGGGAGTGAAGGGGGGGGGCAATACTGCAGTTGGT